TTGGATGTCATAATAATCTATAGTTTTAATGACAGGACCACATGGTATGGTTTTTTTAGATCTATTTTGTTAGACTTAATAGATTTTCATCAGAAAAATCATAACTAGCTACAAATTCTGGATGTTCGAAGTTAATATTTCGAACAATTGGTTTTGGACGGTGCCAAAATTATAAATACTAAAAATTGTTCAGTATTATATTTCGATCATTTTAGATAAAATAAAAATAAATTTCAAAAATAAAAACCTATTTGAACTATTTTAAACATGAATTCGGTTAATCTTTTTGCGTAGTCGTTCTAATTTATCAATCATATTTTGATCACTTCGATTAAAATCTTCTTTGTTTAACATTGATTGTAAGCTAGTTAATTTAGTAAGTTCACAAAGTTCTTTTATAAGTAAATGATATTTGCATTGGTCCACGTTGACCAACAAGTATCACATGTCGTATTCAACTTTGACGAAGTGTATCAAGTACTACAACATCAGTAACATGTGCTTTAGCTAAATCATCAATAGATGAAAACATGTATTTTGAGTACAATCAAGTTATGATTGAAGTTGAATATTTTCTGATACACCTATTTGAAATTGTTTTCTTTTTTTTATAATGACTTAAAAATTATTTTACTTTGTTTCCATTTTGCCATTGTGTTATTCACGAAAAATCTTTAGTAGAAAAAACGTTTTCTAATGTTTTCTTATCAACAATATTTAAATCACGTTCAACGAATGAACTATAAGTAAATATTATAATAAAATTCTTGTAGTTCTTTCACATGTTCATGTTCAACTATTTTTGTAAATATATATATATATAACATTTTTTACTTCAAGATGATCAGATACTACATTATCATATCGAACAAGATAATAAAATGAAGGTAATTTTTCAATAATATCAATTGTTGTCGGTATTGTGTGCCGAAGTTTAACTAAATTTTGTGTTAAATAAAAATTAGATAGATCACTCTCTATGATGTAAATGCATATACGTGATGAAGGTAATATAGAATTGTTAGTAACTATTGAAAGTGAACATCGAATAACACAATATACCAAACAACGTCCATTAAAATGAGTAAACATTGACAAGATATTAAAGATACATCTAGAATATAATAGGGAGCGTAATTTCTATAAAAGTTTTCAATGTTTCACTTGTAAATATTCGTTCTTAAGATTAATCTTAAATTTTCAGAATAAACACTCATTCTCAAATTTCCTAATAAAGTTCTTATGACTCTCATTTATAGTTTATGGGGTAAGCAAAAAAAAAACTTCTTGAATATTTAAATTCGAAGAAGAACCAATATGAAGTATAGCAATTGTCAAGATATTAAAGAATGAGTCTTTTCTCACTTACAACATTAATTACAATTAAAACATTTAAATTATTAGTCTTTTGTTATTCTTCAATCTTATTTATAGACATCTTGTCTATTAAAAGTGACCAAATATCATGTTGCACATATTTTATTTTCACATTAAATATGCATCAATAGAGAAAAAAGGGCGCAATTCTATTGTTCATTTTTTTTGTTGCTTAACTTCAATCATAGGTTACTCACTTGTATTTAATTGTGAATCAGATGGTGTACATTCTTTTTTTTTCTTTAAAATAGATAGATGAAAGATCAATACCTTCATCATCAATTGCGATAGTTTCATTATTTGTTGTTGAAGAAGGTATTAAAATTTGTGTAGTTGTTCTAGGTGGTATTCATAGTCAAAAACAATCATGATAATCAGAAAATAATTGTATCAGAACGAATATGTTGAGTATGTGTTGAGACTTTATCTTTCGATAAATTATGCTTTGTTAATTTATCCATAAATATATATTAATGATAGATTTTAATAAAAAAATTTAAAAGAAACAAATCAGATGAATTATTCATTTTCAAATAATAATCAGATGACGGATAACAAGCAAGTCTATCTAAGATTATTTTCTTTCACATGAACTATAACTTTCATCGAGAGGGTGTGGGTGTGGGTGTTGATGAAAAGGACACCCACAGTCACCCACCCACACCCACCCTCAAGATTGATAAGACCTATAATTTTCTTTATATACCTTATCATAAATTCTGTAAGTAACTGAAGTAGTCAATAATACTATTTATATATCTCTCATAAATCTTTTAGACCATTCATCATGGCTATAAACACTTTTGAACATCCTTTCAAAATGTGACATTCAGGTAGAGTATTTTTTGTCTACCCTTCCAGAATGGGTTTTGAAGAGTGTTTAAAAATGTTTACGATATTTGTCAGCCCTTACGATGGATCTTTTGAAAGGGATTTTTTGAAAAGTTTATGATCCTTTTATAAACGGTTGATAAAGGTTTTTTTTATATGTTGTACTTTCATCAACTGTTTTATGCATTTATTATTTTTTATTCTTTTCTACAGTGAAGAGTGAGTGAAGAAGTGACCGAAATCGGAATACAGCTTTCATCTTACCAACAATCATACGCGCACACACATGCACATTCGTCTGCATTTGTCCTTCAATTGTTTTTCTTGTACTAGATTATACAGGGTGGTCCATAAATAGCTTTAAGATAAAAAATTTGAATAACTTCACTGCTTTTTGAGCCGTAGAGGCTGATATTTTTTTTCTGTGATAGAGGAAACTTCAGAGTTTTTTTTCTAAAGGAACAGCATTTATAAATATTGTTTTCAAGTGTCATCATTGGTTTCAGTGATGAGTTTTTAGCTTTTATGACTTTGAAGTTAGTCCCTAACAAATGCATATGCTCCATTCGTTCTTCAACGAATGTATGTGATTTAGTGTTTCGTCTTGCAAGGTGTAATTGTTCGTATCTTAGTTGTTTAACATTCGCACATGACAGAACGAAACATTAGATCGTATACATTCGTTGAAGAATGAATGGAGCATATGCATTTGTTAGGAACTAACTTCAACGTCATAAAAGCTAAAAACTCATCACTGAAGCCAATGATGACACTTGAAAGCAATATTTATAAATGCTGTTCCTATAGAAAAAAACTCTGAAGTCTCCTCTATCACAGAAAAAAAATATCAGCCTCTATTGCTCAAAAAGTAGTGAAGATATTCAAATTTTTTATCGTAAAACTACTTATGGACCACCCAGTAATTTGTAGTAATAAAAATGAAATTTTTGAAAACCTATTTTTACTGACCAAACTTTTATTTTCTATTGATAGAATTTATATATTTTACTGCTCCTTATCAATAATACACTAGTGATTCATATATTTTCCTACTAACTGTGTGTTTGATTTTTAACCAAGTCGAACCGACCGACCGTAGTCAAAATTACTTTTGAAAGATAAAAGAAGTTAGGATATAGTCAAAGTATTCAATAAATAATCTTTATTCTTTTCTTTATGTTCATTGCTCGTAGTTGCTATTGTTCGATTTGTTTTTGCTAGTGTACAAAAGCACTAATACCTTAGTTAACATAAGATAAACTTCGTTTTCTCTAAATTCAGTTAGAAATTTTTTGGTTCGATTCGGCAAAAATACCAATTGATCCTATCTCTGACATGTTATACCGTATGCTTGATGGTTAGTCCCAACCAGAGATCCGATACTCGCCGAGTTTCCCCGCCTCGCCTCGCCTCGCGGCGAGGCGAGGCGGGGCGGCATTCTTCGCACCGGGGCGAGTACGAGTTGATCTTGTGACTCGGCGAGTCGACTCGCCTACTTACAATATGATTTTTTGGCGAATAATGAAAAAATTTCTTACCAATAATAAGTCAGTAAGATGCATATCTTCAATTTGATGACGAGCACGGTCATGAATAAAGCAAATATCTTAAGTAACTTATTGAGCTTGATTTAATAGACGATAATTGTTTTAAGTTTTGGTATGAACATCTGTTCATTTATCCAATATTATTGAAGGTTGCTCGATTAATTTTTTCAATTCGAGCAACTACAGTTAATGTCAAGCGCCAATTCAGTGTCGATGATTTGATGGTCAATTCTAGACGTACTCATTGAAATCCATAACAAGTTAACAATAAATTGTTTATACGTTCAGTAAAAAATGAATGGTTCGTATTTATTTTGATCTCATTTTATATTTTTGGTTTGTGAACCTATTTATATGTAACAAGTGAAGCTTGTTAAATGGCTACGCTTTCCATTTCAATTTTCGATCACTTAATACGTTGCATTAAAAAAACGAAATCTATCATAAGATGCAGTATGAAAAGCTCTATAGCTTACATAAGATAAATTCTTTCATAGTAACACTTTGTCTTGAAAATCGACAAAACTGTGAGAGATCCAATTTCGATGCTGCAAAAGGTGGTCACACAGTATTTTGTTCTTTTTTGAATATAAGAAGTACAATATTAAAGTAAACTTTACATTGTAGACTGTAGAGTTTGTCACGCTGCACATTATGATATATTTTATTTTTTCAAATAAAACATATCAGGTAATAAAAAATCTCAACTAAGAAAAGAAAAGAATGAATTTTCTGCAGCGTCTAAATCTGATCCCTCAGACTTTTGTCGATTTGCAAAACATAAAGTGCAACTATGAAAGAAGCTGTCTTATATAAATTGTAGAGCTTTTCACACTGCATCTTGTAGCGTATTTTATTTTATTACTATAACGTATTAATTGATTGAACATAGAAATACAAAGGCGTAACCATTTATTCTGCCTCATCTGTTATTTATTGTACTATATTTGATCTTACGAAATAAAAAGATAGTAATTGTTCTGGATGAATGAGAAACTGCCTCAAAAAATCTTTTTTATGATAGATGTTAGGCGAGGCGAGGCGAGGCGGTGGCGAGTCGAAGGTTGAGAAGGCGAGGCGAGGCGAAGCGACGACTAGCAACTCGCCAGCATGACGAGGCGGTGGCGAGTCGGTTTTTCGACTGACTCGCGGATCTCTGGTCCCAACTATTACTTGATATGTTTATTTTATAAATGAGATAAAATGAGTTAGAAAAACTGCATTGTTATTTAGAAAGCATTTTATATGACAACATCAAATAGCAATTACACTTACCACCCGTCGTCCATACAACTGGAACATACCACGAAAACCCCAACCCCAAAAACCAAAACCAAGAAAACCAAATTTTTCCATTTAACATTGAATGAAATATTAACTCTTCTGTGCGCAACTTTTTTACCCATAGTTCTTGGTATCTATACTGCAATAATCACTGTACAGGAAGGAACAGTGGCTGATGAAAGACGACAATTTGATTTGGAACAAGCAGCTAAATTCAGACAACAAACAATTTATGATAAATTTTTAGATGATATTTACAAATTAGAGAAAGACGGTTATTTAAATGAGGAAAAAAATCCATGGGCATTTGCCAATGCTCGTTTTCGTGCTGCACATCGCCAATGGGATGCTATACGTAAAGCAGATATTTTACAATTTCTCAAAGAAAACCAATTAATTGGTAGAAAACCAAGTATTAAAAATCGTGCAGTTAAGAAAGTTGATAATATAATTCATCTAAATGATTTAAACTTCGATAATATAAGTTTAACAAGTCCAACTGGTTCATTAAATTCATTAAATCTTGAATATATTGTATTCGACCAAATATCAATGATCAATGCTCGATTCTCATTTGTCAATCTGAGAGAAACATCATTTAGCCATTCACGATTAAATAATGTCAAGTTTTCAGATTCATCATTAGCTTATGCTAGTTTCAACAGTACAGAATTGGATGGAACAGACTTTGGTAATACAAATATGATAGGTGTGGAATTTTCCAATATTGATTTGTGTACAACAATATTAACAGAAATACAACTGCAACAAATAGTATTTACAAATAGTATATTACCAAACTCATCAATATGCGGACAAGAAAAAACAACCAGCAGTAAGCTATTCAATTTATGTCACATATTAACTGAAAACATAATTCTTTTCTAGCACCAAGCATGATAACGATATCGACAACAGAAGAACTTTCTACATCACAATCAAGTAAGAAAAAAAAATTTAGTGCTAATTTAAATAGATTTTTGAGAGAACTAATATCATATAGCTCGTGATTATTATCGACTTCTAGAGAATGAATTCCATAAATAATTAGTTTATCATGTGTATCGAGTCAAATCATTCAATCAATGAAAATGTTTTTTTCTTTGGTATTTTTTGCTGCAACATCAATTAGTGCTAACTAAAACATTTCATCGCTTTTTTTAAATATTTTGACGATTGATGAAATATCGCCACTTAGTTTTGATCTATTATTGAAATACAGAAGCCGCTATCTGATGACTAAAAACATGACAAAAAGGAATATAATTTCTACTATTGCCATGAAATTTTTCTGATTAAATGTAATGATAGAGTATGAAAACTGTACCACTTTCGATGATGAAATAGACATCATTTTTGAAATTTTGTTAAATTCATGAATGAAAAATGCACACAAGTCACTTGGGGAAAATGATTAAAGGTGTACGAAAATCCTATCATGGAGAAGCAGCAAGATGGAATTTCGACGCTTGAATTTTAGCAAAGTCAAATCTTCGATAGAATTTCAAGAAATTTTTAATTCAACCAACATTTTGGCAATATCACTGAATTTTGGATATTATCGAAATTCCCAGTATTGTGACAGTAAAATTTTCTGCTGGATATTTCATTGTCCAATTATCACTGGATGTATGACAATGGGCACAAAGCCAGAGTACCGCATATACGGAAAACGGACAGTTGTGCGCGGACAGTTGCTCGCTAGGACAGTTACTCGCAGGACACTTGCTCGTCGGACACTTGCTTGCAAAACTATTGTCGGCGCCAGAATTAAATGTGGGTTGGTGTAAGACGAATATCTCAAAAATGACAATAGCTAGTGATCTGAAATTTCCACCAATCGAAAGAGGCTGAGTTAGGACATGTTTTGATATAATATTATGCAAGATGAAATCATTACCTAACCAATCATTTTTGGGAATCTTTTGGGAAAATGTATAATAATACAATGTAGTTCCAATGGAATTTTCATTTTGATATGTATATCAGACAGATGAACTTCAGCTCTTTAGTTCAAGATACAATATGAATGATTATCTTCTCAAAGTCTAACGATGAGCAAATGAATTCGGCCATTTGCTTGCCAAAATAATAGGAAATTACACTGATTTTTTACCAAATTTTCTTACTTTTTATCAAAGTCATTTGTTTTTACGATGAAAATTTGACAAAAAGTAAGAAAATTTGGCCAAAAATCAGCGTAATTCCATATTATTTTGGCAAGCAAGTGGCCGAATTCATTTGTTCATCGTTAGACTTTGAGAAGATAATCATTTGCCTTGTGTCTTGAACTATAGAGCTGAAGTTCCTCTATCTGATATACATATCAGAATGAAAATTTCATTGGAACTACATTGTATTATTATACATTTTCCCAAAAGATTCCCAAAAATGATTGGTTAGGTAATGATTTCACCGTGCATAATATTATATCAAAACATGCCCTAACTCAGCCTCTTTCGATTCGTGGAAACCACAGATCGCTAGCTATTGCCATTCTTGAAATATTCGTCTTACACAAACCCACATTTAATTCTGGCACCGACCATAGTAATATGGGTGTGGGTGTGGATGTCAATATTCTCTCAAGTAATACCCATACCCATACCCATACCCATACCCACACTTACACCCACACCCACACTCAACCCACACCCACAGTCACATCCACACCTTCTACTTGTAACTGTACTGGTTTTCTTTCTTTTCTTTCTACAGCACCTACTGCTTTATGTCCTGCCGCAAATACATTAAATTCAAAAGAGGCACTTACAATCACATTTGGTAGTGGTGCAACACAATATTCTTCAGCAACACCTGCTGCCTTTGGATTCACTACAACTTACCAACAAATATTCAACGGATTAAATGGTATTGTAAATAATGGACAGTTCGCTTTCGTGACTACAGTTAGTCCAGTAGCATCTTCGTGGCATCAAGATACAGTAGATCACACACCAAACGATGATACGACAACTACTCACGGATATATGATGTTCGTCAATGCGAAGGAGACTCCTGATGATGTTTTCAGGATGACAATCAATAATTTGTGTATTGGGTCACGTTATGAATTTTCTGTCTATCTAGCTAATATTGCCAAAAAAGGAACTAATCTAACTCCACCAAATATTAAATTTGAAGTTCAAACTGCAACAACTCCAAATACTTTGCTTGGAACTGTAGCTACAGGCGACATACCAGCATATGCCACTCTTGCTTGGTCAAATTATGGTATGTCATTCATTGCAATGACCAGTTCAGTCATCTTGTCAATGATTTCAAATGCTTCCGGAGGAGGTGGAAATGATCTCATTGTTGATGATATTACATTGCGGGTTTGTTCACCTACTGCTAATGCTATCTGTAATCCGTAATAAGTTATCGTTTACAGTACTACACCTTATGGAACAGTTTGATTCCTAGAGCTCTTATTTGTTTTTGTTCTTTTATTATCTTAATCCTCTTTTATTATTTTAACGTTCTTTCATTATCTTAACATTGTTTCTCCGTAACTACTAAAACTCATCATTCGTATACATATTTTATACTGTTTTATGGAACTCACATATATTTTCGAAGTAAATAGTGAATGTAAGTTTTAAATCGAGATTTTGCGGCTCTCCCCCCCCCCCCCGCTCCATTACAGACCATAGCAACACAGGCTCTCATTACAGACCGTTACAAACAAATTAATTAATTAACTGATTAGGAAAATGAGGAATAAATAATTGATAAATAATTGATAAATAATAAATAATGATTAATATTTAATATTTGATATTTTAATTATTAAATATTTATTATTCACTGTTTATTGGTTTTGTTCTTTTATATTTTACATTTTTGCTTTTTAATAGTTAATATTTCATAGTTCGTTGTCAAGTCATTATTGGGCAGTGACAGATCGTCATTGGTATATCATTAAAAAAACAGAAGTTATGCACTGAAGATGTACATGACAATATAAATAACTTTCTTCAGCACTACGCTGTTAAATGAATCAAATAAACTGATTAAAAGTAATGTATTAACCTTTTCGAAATGATTAAATTTCAGAGCACACGTATCAACTATAATAATTGCTATAATTTTACTTTATTGAGTTATTTGATATGTTTTTTTAAATGAATTGTTTTAGAATATCTGACAATATATTGTAAAGTTATAACAAGTAGAGTTTGTGAATTCCATATTCTGGCCCCTCCAGGAGCCGCACTGACAAGTTTTTTATGACTCATCGAATACTGCAAAATTCACGTTTTAGACAACTTTCGTCCCTCATCACTCATGATTGGAACAAGATGAAGTTTTGAAATTTTCACTGAAGTTAGTGTCTAGAGAGAGAGAGAGATCTTCGCCGAAAATTTTAGTATTACACACCCTTCCTATCAATCACTAGAATGCTCTCAAATATCGTTTTTGTGATGAAAATCGTGATTTTCAGACAAGACTTTCCTCTAAACAACAGCTACAGAACGACAAATTGTTTGGCATAATTCGATATTATCATTGACTGATGTAAATTCTTGTTCAATTAATGACTTCAGTTGATTAATGTTGTGGGGATTTTGAGTATAGACACGATCTTTTATAATTCCTCATAGTGAGAAATCACATGAAGTTAAATCTGGAGATCGTGGTGGCCATTCAATAGTTCCTCGACGACCTATCCAACGTAAAAATGTATTATCTAAATACTCTCGCACCACTAGACCATAGTGAGGCGGTGCACAGTCTTGCTGCCAGATCATTGTTTCAAAACTTGAGTGTTTTTCAAGTTGTGGTATCATGTTATCCTCCAACATCTGAAGATATTTTTCTGATGTGACGTTACCTTCAAAACAATATGGACCAACAACACCATTTGACCATATTCCTCCCCAAACAATCACCTGTGGTACATTGAGTTCTTGTTCAATAATGAGATG